CGGACCGCGGGCGTATGTTTCCCGGGTCGTGTTGTGTGATCGGCCGAGTGGCATTGGACTTTGGCCGAGACATCAGTCGGACGAATGCGGATTGGCCAAGCGCGGAACATTCGTTCGTCTGCCCGCCGGACTGCGCGTTCGAACGCTGATTCTCGATATAGCTGTCTGGAGCAGCCTTCACTCTTTTGGCTATAACTCCTTTTCTACTCATCCAAATGAAGCCATTCCAGTTGCGTTGGAAAGTTAACTCAATCAGAGCACGCAGGGAACTGGTCTTGATGAAATCCATTGAGTAGATCTTTTTTAGCTCCATCCAAAGTTGATGCAGGGGCATTGAACTGGTTTAGAGTCCAAATCTCCTGTTTTGCTCCATAATGCACCTTTTTACCTAAAATGACTCTTTGCACTATAAATCCATAAAAACTACCTTTTAACACAAGAATCCACTAGAAAACCATTAGAAAACCATAGTAAAATAGCATAAAAAGTAGGTAAAATAGAGGTATATCAACTCCCCCAGACTTATCTTGGGATGAACAGTAAAATCCGAAATTAACTTTGAAAAAGTGAAATTTCCATTTTGTTTCTTTGATTCATGATTAAGCCTTGAGTTGTTCCATTATCCATATCATTATTGCAACTCAATTAGCTTATCTTTCTTTTGCATTAATCACAAACTCATATTTCTTCCCAAGAATTTGCTCTTGTAGGTACCCAATGGCAAGGACAAAAGGAAGTGAGAGTATGAAGAAGAAGAAGAATCCATTCATGGAACCACCAAAGAAACAAATCAAGCTAGGGAGTAGTAGCTCCAATGCAAGAGCAGCAATACCAACTTCCACCACATTCCATTGATGCAATCAAGAACATGTGGAGAGTCCAAGAAGAGGAGAAGATGATTGGGCACTTGTAACCTTTGTTGGAGAACAAAATCAAGACCCAAGAAAGTGTAAGAAGGCAATGGAGAAGGTGAACATCGAGCCTTGTGTGAAGATGGACACCCAAACCCTTGATCTTCTCAAGATAAGAGATGATGTCACATGGTACATAAGGAAGCTAGGCTTGAGCAAGCTCTTCAAGCTAGAATGTAGTGAGTACTCACAACTCACCAAGGAGTTCCTCTCACAGTAGCTCTTGCCTTTCCCAACCACAATGGAGACCAACCAGCTGGTGAAGGACTCCTACTCTTCAAGATAGGCGATGCCAATGGGCGCATATCCATCTCAGCTCTATGCCAACTCTTTGGACTTCCCAATGAGACAGCACATGACTTCAAGGAGAACTCAAAGAGGAAACAAGCTGCCTTTGCTGATTGGACACACTTTGCCAATGAACCATTCTTGCCTTCAAGGTCAAAGGTGTCTAGAATCACTCATCCAGCCATTCGCTATGTGCACCGCCTCATCTCCACCACTTTCCAATGCAAACAAGAAGCCAACAAGGTCACAACTGATGAGTTCTACATCCTCACCACACCATTCATCAAGCATGAGTACAAGGCCAACCTTGGACTTTTACTTGCCAAGACATTCATCAATGTGAGGAAGCTAGCTAAAGACTTGGAAGGCAACAAGAAGCTTTGTGTTCGTTTTGGGAGGCTTATCACGGCCATAGTACTGCATGTGGGGATTGACATTCCCAACTATGAGCCACTACCCAAGCCAACCCCTTTGGATCTCCATGCTCTTCAGCACATCCACTTCCTAAACCGTTGGACTAAAGACCCAACTCGGTTTTGCTATGAGTTTCCAATTGGTCCAGCCAACACTTCCCTTGTCTTGCTGCCACATGAGACATCCCAAGCCTACGCTCAGGAGTTGTCACTTTCCAGCCCAATGAGGAAGACTTCTATGTTCCATCAAGTGAGAAACCATCATTCCCCATGCTCACCTATCGCACACTTCAGCATGCAGTCAAGACTCAACGCCGCCACCAAGAACGCCATGTTCTCACTACTGGCATGGCCGCGCACCAAGCTCTAGACCGTGTTAACAAGCTGGAGAAGATAGTGGAATGCCAATCTCGCTTCATCTCGCGCCTATCCGCGTAGTTCGCCACATTGCACCGGAGAGACTCTTTCGCCCTTCTTCCACCGCTAGAGAGCCATATGAGCCTGACCTTGGTGAGTTCTCACTAGACTCAGAGCTTGGTTCAGAAGGCGATGACCCCATAGATGAGGAAGAGAGTTCTTCTCACTGCCACACATAGTCATCTCAAGTGGTACTTAGTGCAATGGACACTTACAAATCTCCATTTTCTATCCCTATCTCATTTTAATGAATTTTTCTTTATTTTTCTTTTACTTTGAATATTACCTCTCACCTTAATGTGATTTGCTTTCACCGGGACGGTGCAAGTTAAGTCTGGGGGGAGTTTTATTGTGTTACTAATGCATTTTTCTTTCTTTTCTTATGTTTTATTCACTTTGTTTCATGTTTTTCAAAAAGTTTTATTGAGTCAAAAACCAGTCCGGAAGTTATGAACTTGCTTTGAGAATTGAGAGTGTTATGCTAACAATCCATGACCCTAGAGCAGAAACCAGCTAAAGGCACAAGCCTAACAGAAGCTCTTACAGTGGATCGACATGCTAGCTCAGCAAAATTTCTAAGGTAACCAAGCAATCTAGAGTTAACCTCACCTTAATCAATCTTAATTACTCTTGTCAAGGGGGTTGGCATACATGTCGACAGTTCCTTGCTTGATTTTCAATAAGATTTGTCTAATCTTTAAAGAGTTCTCCTCTCTCTCCCATCCCAAATGGTAAGTAATGTTTATGAGAAAAAGCTCAAAGAGCACAAGGAAAACAAGTAAGCATGAGGAATGCATATGTCTGTACCTTCATGTCTTATGGAATACCTTAGTCAAACAAGGAACAAGCTAAAGACTTATCCTGTGGTTGAAAGAAGGGTCAATAGAAAAAATAAAATGATACCCTAGAAAAGTAGGGAGAAATTGACCTTTCAAAGTTCTGATGTGAGAAAGAGAGAGGAAAAGAACTCATTGCACTTAAAGAGGCAATCTTGGAGAGGATCAAGTGGGTAAGAACAAGTTCAATTGATCGATGTCCCCTTGATAAAGAATTCACGCTTTAAATTTATGCAAGAGGTTAGCAATAGAGAGTTTGGATTGCTGGATGAGACTAGTTGGGTTGGTATTGTTCGCTAAACTTGCAGGGTGTATGTGAAGCTAACCTTATGTTGTCTATGTTCATAGTGGAATACAGGAAAGGAACCTTTCACAGGATATTCAAAAGAGCAAGGGAGCTTCCACGTTTTCAAACCTCTTTCACGGATTTAGATTCTTTTTGCTTGAGGACAAGCAAAGATCTAAGTCTGGGGGAGTTGATATACCTCTAATTTACCCACTTTTTATACTGTTTTAGCATTGTTTTCTAATGGTTTTTGGCAGGTTTTCTATCTAAAAAGGTAGTTTTACTGTGTTTATAGTGTCTAGAGTCTAAACAGGTGAAATGATGCATTTTGGAGCAAAACCATAGGATTTGCACTTCAAGCCGCTCCATGCACAAGCACCAACTTTAAGAGGGCCCAGAAAAAGATCTACTCAATGGATTTCATCAAGACCAGTTCCCTGCGTGCTCTGATTGAGTTAACTTTCCAACGCAACTGGAATGGCCTATTTGGATGAGTAGAAAAGGAGTTATACCAAAAGAGTGAAGACTGTCCAGACGGCTCTATCGAGAATCAGCGCCCAACCGCGCAGTCCGGCTGGCCGAGGAACGAATGTTCCGCGCTCGGCCAAACTCGTCCGTCCGACTGAAGTCTCGGCCAAAGTCCAAACCACTCGGCCGATCACGCATCACGACCCGGGAAACAAGCCCGCGGTCGGCCAAGCCACACGCCACGCCAACCGCGCACGACCAAAGCGCGCGAGCCGGGAAAAAGCCTCGCGGCCGCGCAACCGTTCGCGTACCGGCCGATGCATCCGTCCGAGCCGGGAAAGAACGTCCCGCGTCCGGCCGAGAATTTCATCGGCCAAATCTCATCCGCTCGACCACGCCGGACCGACCGAATCCGTCCGACCCCGACCGTTCCGACTCGGCCACAACCCGATGTCCGGCCGATCGTCCCGACGACCGTCCCAACGCCGCGGTCGACCCGAAGCCCTTTTTGAAGCCCAAACTTATGTTTTCAAGCCCGGCTTAACCCTAAGCCGCCTCTAGAAAGACCTAGCACTATATATATGGATTTTTAGCCTCTTGAGAAAGAGAGCCGCCCTGTATTTCGATTTCCTACTCTAAGTTTTATTGCAATCATGTTTTCTTCATCTCTATGTGTGTTTGCTTTGATCATGTCTGAGTAATCCACTAGTTAGGTTGCTAGGGTTACTATTCAATGAGTTGCTTGCATGATCTTTGATTTCAATGATTAGCTAGGGATTATATTAGAGTCTTTGTCTCGTCTTGTGCACTTAACTAATGCTGATTGCTTTACCGCGCATCTAGTAATCCGATCTTAGGTTGATTTGAGCCTCGACAGTGCTGTATCATTCGCCGGACATATTCTTTGACAAGCTAGGTTTCTTAGACTGCGAAAGTTGATCTATCTATATCTAGTGAACTGTATCAGAACCTATTCATTCTAATGCTTGATCTAATCACCTAGGGACATACCAAAAGTTTAGCGACTAGGTAGATTAGCAAAGGAGCCGGAGCCTCGAAAGTGGAATGGTTTTATATTCGTGATCTGTGTTCTAGATGGTTCTTAATATCCCAATATCCCTAATCAATTAATCTATCATTGTTTCATTGATCATTGCTTGCTTCTCTGCGATAGCCCCTATGACCTAGCGCTTTTCCTTTATTGCTTACAACCTCGTTATACTTGCTAGTTCGGTTCACCATTACAACCTCAATCATACTTTTGTTTTAGCTTGATCCAAAATCCATAGTTACAAAGTGTACTCAATAGCCAGTCCTTGTGTTCGATACCCATACTTCCGCGATCTGTGCACTTGCAGAGGTCTAGGAGTTTGGTAAAACCTGACTCCGCATCAAGTTTTCCGCATCATTTGGTGAGCAACACTTCATAGACTGCGACAGTTGATCTATGCGGGGTTGTGAACAATATGTTCTTGAACGAATTAATGCTTGATTAACTATTTAAGGACATACCAAAAGTTTAGCGATTATATTTGTTAACAAAGGGATTGGAACCACGACAGTGTAATGATTCTACATCAGCGATCTAAGTTCTAGACGGCGCAATTATCCCCCTATTGAATCTATCTATCAACTTACCAACCTTGAATCTCTGCGAGCTTCACATTGCCTAGAGTTTCGTCCATCTTGATTTTACATCCGTTACAATTGCCTTGTTTAGTTCTTTAATCATTAAACCCAACAAAACCCCAAAATATACTTTCTCTCCTAGCTAAGTTAGACTTGCAATACTCGTAGTGTACTTATCTGCTCCTTGTGTTTGATAACCTGTTACTACACATGACCTGTGCACTTGCAGAATCAGGTACATGAATAGGTAAAACCTGATCCCGCATCAGTAAAACCTGACTCACATCAGTTATCATCAGATCCCGATAGATGAGGCAGATGTTCGTAAGACTGCTTTCAGGACGCGTTATGAGCATGTTGAGTTTGTGGTTATGCCTTTCGGTTTGACTAACACGCCGGCAGCTTTTATGAGGTTGATGAATAACTCATTACAGTGTTTTTGAGATGGTGGTTCTCTGGCAGACTCATCTGGGTGCAGTGGGCCTCAGTTTTTGTGGCTTATCTGGTTGCAGTGTGACATACCCATATCTTGCATGTTTAAACTAAGGTTTTTAGTTTTCAATACAAATAACATGGCTTTTGTGCCCAAGAGGTAGTTTTCTTGTATATTCTGGTTTTGTGTATCATTCAGGTCAAAATAGCAAAGAAGAGGTCAAAATGGAGCAAAAGGAGCCAAACAATCAAATTCCCAAGTCTAGAGCACGAAAACTATATTTCTCGCTAAAGACCAAACCGGAGCATCTGAAGTTTGATCGTGTATTCATGCTTTCCCGACGCCCAAAAATCACGATTCTTATATGGAAAGATAGATAAATGAATCGTGCATCATGTCGAAGTGGAAAGAGGTCATTTGGATCAACCATCAGGACGAAACTTATTTTATACTGAGACATGTCCGGTTAGCGCCCAAGTAGAGCCCATGGAGAATTTGGAGTGTCTAGGCTAATGTCTAAAGGCCTTGACATTAGCCTAGCTCAATCAAGGAGGCTTCTTTGACCCAAAGACAGCCCGTTCAAGAACTTGGAGAGCAAGCTCAAGCGGCTGAAGAGAAATGGAAACTTTCCTCTTCTTGGCGCACCTCAACTTTGCCGAACTAGACTCTCTCTCTACCTATATATAATTGCTTTTAGCCTCTTGTTCTGAGACACATTCTATTATTCAATAAGACAAAAGTTTCAGAGCCACTTAGGTTCTCCATCTTTATTTTCGCTTAATGTTTGTTGCTAGAGTAGCTAACTAGTGACTTGATAACATGTTGATATACTCTCCAAAAGCTTGTTATATCTCCGGATATAGTATTTGATGGGCAAATCGTTTTAGGCTATGAAAGTAGACCTAAAGAGTTTTGTGAACAATCATTACTTGTGTGTAATGCATGTCTCACTCTACAATGACCAACGAAAGCTGAGCCCATTGGTTTAAGAGACATAGGGGATTGGAGCCACGAAAGTGGAATAATCCTTCCTTAGTGTTTTGAGTTCAAAAGAATCGGATTTTAACAAACTTTTCAATCGACTTGGCATGTTTTCAAAGAGTTTTCAATAGTTCAATAATGTTGCTTGTATAGAATTGCATTGTTCATATGTTATTTCTTTTATGTGTTCTCTATTCTCATCAACACAAAACCCTTGCATCGTTTGATTTAGCTTAGATCTTTAAACTCTATGATTGTGTAATGTGTGAAATCCAATCTTGTGGTTCGACCCCTAAGTACTACAATTATATGTTGTGCACTTGCAACTAGTTGTCTTAGGGATTTATTACTTGTACTCATCCCGCATGACCCATCACAGTGGGCCTCAGTATAAGCGGTGGCAGGCTAACCTAGGAGGGGGTGGCCCCAGTGTGAGCATGTGCTGACTTGTCAAGGAGGCCGTGGCCCCAGTACAAGTGTTTTTTTGGGGGATGAGTTAAGAGTGAAGATGTTTAGAAACGTGTGTATAACATCCGTAAACCAAATTGATCCCGTTCGATTTAAGTGTCGGTCTAGAAACCCTATGTCACGAATAAATAGAGGCAGCCGCCTTTCATCTTCAAGTTTTGTCGTTTTGTAGAGGTGGAAGTTTTAGAGGGGAGATTTTTGGGAGATTTCTAGTGTTCTTGGGTGAATCAAAGGCTGTTTGTTGTTGTTCTTCGTTGCTTCATCCATTTTCCTTTTGTTTAATCCATTTAGAGGTGAGTGCGTGACCATGTGAATTATAAAAATCTTATGTGTCATAACCACGTTGCGTCGCATCCAGCTTTATATAGTAAGATAGAGTCCAAAAAACCTGGAAGCTGAAGTTTTTAGACTAAAATGAACAAAGCCTATTCTACTATATCTTTTACTAAAATGAACATAGCCTATTAATACTTCACATGTCCACCTTGACTTCCAAAGTCCACTTGCCTCCCCGACATCCCCTTTTTGTTTATAACAACAGAAAATTAGAGAGTTAATAAATTGATTTGTATATATGTACCTGCCTATGTTTAGGAATGAATTACCTTTGCCTCAAATTTAAAATAATATTGAGATGAAATATATACCGCAGAAACCAGAAGGTGGTGGATGAAGGATTTGAACAATCCAGTGGTTGGTGAAGAAGGCGAAGAAGATACTTTGGGACCAAAAATATGGTCAAAAGAGGAAGAAGATGAAGCAGAAGCAATTTTCCTCTACATACCAAAGTTGTGTAGGTGGGAAAGTATGTATAGAAATATTAAAGGGTTTTTATTTTTGGAAAATGAATTACAAAAAGGGCCTAGGGAATGCCGAAAAGAGAATGGATTAGATTTGCAGAGGCAGAGAAGGTGAGAACATGTGAGGAAACAAAAGAGAAAGCACGTGAACATTTGGAGTTGTTTTATGGGACTCTTATCAACTTTGACTACATGTGATCGGTCTTCTCATCATTTTCTTGGTGTGTGAGTATGTTTAAGAAAAGGTGAATATGGAAGAATAAAAAGAAAACAACGACATAACACTTTCATTAATTTTGGTTTTATACTGCTAGTGAGTTTTATTTTAAGCAGTTTAGAGAACATCCTTTATTAATATCTTTTTTGTTTGGTTTGAGAGCATCTTTGGCTACACTTCTTTTTTGGCTTGTAAATATGTAAATTCCACTAATCAGAGATGTGTAATGCACCAAAAAAGAAACATTATGAATGAGATTACTTATTTTATGCAATGAGTTTTGATGTTAACATTTATTAGATGAAATATAATCATAGTAATAATCTTTTTCTTTTTCTACGGATTTGATTCCCACTCAAAACAGTAAGGAGGTGTACCATCGCGATTTATACGACATATAGGGTTTTTATCACCTCCTCTTACCTCTCAAAGACATTCTTTACAAACTGGAAATTTTCCAGATGGAGTATCGTCTCTCGATACTTTAAATATATCGAAATAGTGCGATCCGCCTCCATACCATGTAAAATGGCAATGAAAACGTGTAGATTTTGACAGGTTAACATGAAATCTGAAATCCATTTTATGATTCCAATCGAGATGAATCAACTTCAAATCATCCTGACTAGATCTGCAATGTACGTTCAACATATCAGCATCCTGCAGAACGTTGTGAATTACAACATGCTTGCTCGCCAAAGGTAAGAAACCGTCTTCGCCTGATCCTAGCGATGGCGCTTCTGTTACAACATTGGAGACATCTGACGCTGATGTTAAAAGAACAAGAGTAAATGAGATTAAAAACATCAATATATAATAAGGTATATTGGAGAACGCCATATCCATAGTCAGATGTAATTTCATATGTATAATTGTTCAGTATTTATAGATCAGTGTAATCATATGTAAATATATCAAAGAGGAAGGTTGACCAAATATTTATGTAAACGTTAAATGCATGCATTCCTTTTATAAATTTATTAATTTTAAGATATGACTTTTTATTTTTATTTTTT